TCTGCAGCATCATTGAATCTTGCCATTATTAGCACCAGGCTATAACTCGCCAGGGAAAAAAAGTCATTAACCTGACTAACTTTCTGCGTTTATTTTAACACATTTTATAGTCCAGTACATCTGCTTAATCCATACAACTTCTGATAGACAGGATGCGTCCAGCTAAGTCGCCCCGACAACACGACTAAATTTTAAAGACGAGGTCAGACCACTTTAACACATTGAAAGAAGACTGCGACCCAAACGTGTTATTCTTCATATTTACTATTTGATATAATGATTAGGTAATAAAGAGGAAAAAATTATACTTATATAGATCATAATACAAAATAATAAAATAACATAAAGCGGATTTTAATCTACAAAAATATTAACGCGAGCTCAGTCCACGAACCCGCATCACGATTAATATGCAAAAAAACAAACCAAACGAATTTCACATTAAATATAAGCATTTACTTACTGGTGCGACCGTAGCCAACAATCTCAGCGAGAGGATTTACGACGTCCGTACCAGTAATAGATGAATAACGAGATTGCACATGTAGAGGAGGAGGCCACGCTTGTAGGACAAGTGCAGCTGCCCCTTCAGACATTACAAAACCATTTCTTCTAGAATCGAAAGGCCGGGATATATGATGGGGAAGAAAACCTAGATCCTGATCTGTGGCTAAGGCTCGCATTCGTGAAAAGGCTGCAAATGTCCATGGATCGAGACAGGATTCTGTACCACCAGCAACCACAACGTCGGCATAGCCATGTTTGACTGAAGATAAGGACGAAATCCATGAGATATAAGAAACCGACCTGAAAATTAGGTTGGCGGAAAAAGCCTACCTATATAAAGAATGCAGAAACCAAAACAAGCAAATTTATGAGCAAAAGCAAATCACAGTCAGGGATACTAACCTTTAAAATCATTAAAAAAAGAATTCGCTAAACCAGAATATTCACTTTATAACCAAATTGGCGTATGTAAAAAACAAAACATTTTTTTTGAAAATAACTTACTCATGTGATAAGCTTCCCCGATGCAATGCATTCCAGTTGCACAAGCTGTACTGACAGTAATTGATGGACCCCTGAGACACCATGCACGACTTATATGAGCAGCTGGCATATTAGTTAATGAAC